TGGTCATATCTCAAATAAATATAGTTGATCAGGCTATATTTATCCCAAATATGATTACATAACTGTCTAGGTTTGACAGTAGTGTCCAACATCTAAATACTTTTGTTTTGTTCTTATCCTGACACTGTCCTAGTATGTATGTATACTTTTATAAAATACTTATACTTTTAAGGTATACTTTTAGTCAGATTGTTTTAGTCCCATTGTATTTATAGTTGTATATCTTGTATGATTTGATTTACTAGTTCACTATAAACAATGCTCTGATACCAATCTGTCACACCCCCAAACCAGAACGGCGGAAATGTCTGGGGGCGGATGGAGTGACTTCATGTACAATATCATCACAATTGAATAGTAATGAAACGTAGAAACACAAATATTCATACATTTAGATTTCAAGTATTACATTGTTTACAAACACAGTTATTCCAAAAGTTGAATACAAATAATTGAAAATTAGGAATAACATGAGACGACGACGCCGATCCTTAAAAAGGGTTAAGTACCTGTCTACTGGTTCCCTGAGAATACAAGTGATTTTGAAAAGTGTCAACAATTAAGTTGGTGAGGCCATAAGCATTTTTGTGTGAAAAAGGTTTTGCAATTGTTTCGCGAAAGATGGTTTCATATTTTCCAAAAAATCCGATATTTTCTTTAATATGAACTAAAATTGTAAGTAATTAATTTGTATCTTTTCCTTGTAAAGTAATAATGTAAATTCCAAGAAAATCCGATATTTTCTTTAATATGAACTGAAATTGTAAGTAATTCCTTTGTATCTTTTCCTTGTAAAGTAATAATGTATACTTCCAGAAAATCCAGTATTTTCTTAAAAGTGAACCGTAGTCTTAAACCCAAAGACCAAGATGGAAGTGAATATTGTACAGAAAATAGTATATAGTTTCATTTCTTTTAATAAAACCAATGAAGTATAAGCTTCCGTAAATCAAAATCGTTTCGCTAATCTCTATATAAGTTCTTATAACCATGCTAATATGACTGATATGCCTGAACACGACGTTCTTCAGGCGTCGGAGCCGAGGGGACCTTTGTCACCCTAGACTTGCCGGTCTAACTGTAGCGAACATATGAGGTGTGGGGTTGTCGATCCCATATAGATATATACACAACGGTCTCGCTCTCCCTCTAAGAGACTCTGGTTATAACGCAGGGCCTACGGTGTACGCTAGGTAGGTACGGTGAAGGAAAGTCTCAGAAGATCATTAACAGATTTACGTGAACTCTGACTCATTTTACTTGTAAAATAAGATAATTATACCTTTAAGTAATTATAAGTATTTTTGAAAGGTGTGGCTTGTGACTTCAAAACTGTACCAATTATAGCTTATCTTGTTGGTGGAAACTATTTATATAATCTTTTATATAAATATAGTTGCGTATTCTGACGTGAAAATATGAAATCAAAATATATTATTTTGGGGTTAAAACCCACTAGATTAAAGAATGATTATAATATAACCATTTTTGTTAGTAACGATATCTTTTAGTAAAAGTTCCCAAAAACCATGTAGTTTTACAATTCATAACTTTTCTTATGATTTTATAACTTAGTTTAAGTTTACTTTCACAAAATGTATATCACAAATGTTTATGCCAAAACTAGAACAAACCATAACTTATGTAAACCATATTTTATCTTTAACATAAGGATGAAAAACATGAAATTATTTGTGGGATAAATAAAGTTTTACTTGTATTCCCCCCCCCCCCCTAAAAACATGGAAAAAGCTTGAAAATATGGGGGTATGAACTCACCTTGGTTTGGTTTGGTGGATGATTTGAAGTGTTGTGAAGAGATTTCGAGCCCTAAACACTTAAAGAGTTTTAATAACTCTTTGAGGCTTAAGATACCCTAAGGATGTCATCACATAATATTATGTGTAAATAGGGTGAAATCAACAAAATAATGTGTAGAATTACTAACCAAACTCGAATTTACGTACAAGGATCTAGGGATGTTACTTGGAAAATGTTGATCATGAAAGACTCTAGGTTTGTTCTTGGGAGAGTTTTGAAATATTGCTAAGTGAAATGAGGGAAGGATCTTTGAATGAGTTTACTGCCGTAAAAAATGGGATGGAATGAGGTTAGGATATTAATTAGATTATATGGGGGAATATTATCTTGGATATCTGTGGGATAATTCATGGATATATGTTGGTTAATTACGTGGGAACCTGTGAATTGCATGGGGAAATATGAATGGACATCACATCCTAAAGTCTTCGATTTTTGTCTTATTCCCACTCTAGACCATAAACCTTCTTGGGAAACTTTATTGTGATTAACTTTATTAGTTTACTGCCATAGGAAGGGTTTACGGTTCATATACCCCCATTAGATGTGTTTTCGGCCAAAGTGTGGTCCACTAAGGGGTTTTCGGCCAAACATTGATTCCTTAAGGTAGTTTACGGCCAAGCTAAAGTCCTTTAGGGTGTTTTCGGCCAACTATGGACCAACTGGAGGGGTTTACGGTCTTGGATGGTCCCCATGCAGGTGTTTATGGTTTTTGTTAATAGGAAACTCAAATATGTTGACCTTAAAGTTTGAGTGTTCAAGATTGTGACACAATTACAAGTTCTTGTGTTAACACCATTTGATCCTTGTTTGAATGCATTGCAACTTGAACTCCAATTTATTTGTCTAATTTTGCTTTGATAAACTTGTTTACTTTCAAGAGGTTATCTTATATATGATTTCCAAAGTGTACACATCCATATACATGCACTTATGCCCTTTTGGTTTTCAAGGTTTTTCATTGTAATAAGGTTACAATTTAGACTTTGCTTGATCCAAATCTTTCGGGTTGTCACAGATGGTTAGTATTATTACTTATTAGTAGAAATTTTATATTTTCAAACGGTATTAATTAATAACAATCATATGCTTTATTTGTACCTCTATAGGTAAGTTTTACCTTGTAGATGCCGGATATCCAAATACAAAATGTTATCTTGCTCCCTACAAACGTTCAAACATCCGTTATCATATTCCTGATTTTCGACGTGGAGAGACTCGTGTCGCGCGGGAACCAAAAGGCTTTAAAGAAAAATTGAACTATTATCATTCGTCACTTCACAATGTAATTGAACGAACTTTTGGAGTCTGGAAGGCTCGATGGGTGTTACTAAGAGATATGCATGTAAATTTCGACTTCGAGACCCAAGTGGAAATTGTGCTAGCTTAAATGGCAATTCACAATTACATTAGAATGAGCGGTAGTGGTAATGCAGCATTTCAGATAGCGCAAAAAAAATCTTATATTCCGCGCAATGATGAAGGACCCAATTATGGTATTGAGCCACATGACGAAGTATCAAGTGGACAACGTAGAAATGACGATATGTATATGAGTGCAGTACGCGATATGATTACGGGATAGATTTTCTCGAGGTCAAACACTCGTGCACGTAATGACGTATGATTTGTTTTGAAACTCTTTGGTATTTTCATTTTATGGTTTAATGTAGTAGCATGAAACTATTTTGGATAATATAGAATGTGTTATAACTATGCGTGATGGATAATATGGATTTGGAATGAAATTTGTGGTCTCATATAGGTTTGCATGATAAATGTTTTTTTAGTTCTTATGGATAAGAAAATTATGGTCTTATGTTTCTTAAATATTTCGATAGATGTATCCGATCAATTTAAAAATAGGTGTAAAAATAATGTAGTAAATGTTTTTCTAGTTTTTATGGATAATTTTTTTTTATTATTTAAAAAACAAAATTGTTTTGTTTTAATAAGAAAAATATGTTCACATATAAGAGGAAGCCATTTTTGGTCATTTTACTCATATAAGCTGTTTTGTTTGCCAAACACTTAAAAATGTTTATTGCTTATTGCTTATTCCCACCGCAATAAACTAATCCAAATACTTTTTTAAAAAATTGCTTATTCTCATCGCAATAAGCCAGTAAACAATAAACTAATAAGCTAAAAACTAATTTATCCAAACACACCCTCTCTCAAATGCTTTAGCAACGCCTTGTCATCGATGTGGAGTCGCATAGTGACGACGGGTGCGGCTGCCTAAATTGATGGCCCACACTAAAAACTAAGAATATTTCTTGTTTGAGAACTACAAAGAGGGTTTTAAGAGGGGGGGGGGGGGGGGGTAAGAGATGTAGCTGCATAGGGCCCCGAAAAAAATAGGGCTCGAGTTTTAATTAAATTATATGTGGAATAACTAAATATATATGAATTTATTCAAAGTTTTGCGTAAAGTCTAGGTGCGTAATTGACATAAGTGTATCTATTTTGAATCAAGTGTAGGTGGTTCAATTCTTGTGCACAACATTTTGATGTTTTAAATTCAAGTTAGAGTTTTGACCATTACTTTATGCTATATATTTCAAAATTTTAACAAATGAGTTTTCAGACGTTACATAATTAACCCTTGCACTTTTTATAAAATTCCATATGTTCCTTTTTAATTAGTTTATTTACTTTTAAGTTTTCCGTAAGAACAATTCATCGTCTTAAGTTTGTTTGCCTTATATATTAAAAAATTGTATTTAGGGCCTTATTTTTCTTCTTAGCACAGACCCTTAAAATCTCCGAGCCGGCCCTGAGTCAAAGAGTGTTTGGATGTTGCGCTGTTCGCTAATTAATTTTTGGATAATATGATAATTCTGGTATGATGTGGTCTTTAAGGTTCATTGTTTGATCCCATTTCGCTTTGATAATTTTGATTCGTTGTTAGAAAGTTCGATAAAAAAATTTCTCATTGTTCTTGCATCTTTTTCAAAAATGAATATTGCAGTTGCTTAATGATTGGTCGACGTCGTCGTCAAAGTGAGCTCGAAAATCAACAATATTGTTTCCCATTTTGAATCGTAAAATAAGCGGTGCAATTCTATTTTTCTTCTTTTTCTCCGGTATGTTAAATATGTTGTATATCACAACATGTTCGTTCAATATTGAGTTGAAAATACAAAAATGTCTTTGTATTAATCATCATAAGTTCTTAACTCATCATTATAGGGAACTAAACAAGCCTAACATTTGGCAACAAATGAAAGATCATTTTATTTCCTACGCAATATTTGAAATATAACTTGTGTAATTCGGGTACCTCATCTCATCTCATAATCCTCAATTGGTGGGTCTCCGTTCATATATATAGGACCCATCATAAGGTGCTGATCAAAATCAAAATTAATCGACTTTGAATTAGTTAGAAGAACCACGTTTTTTCATTTGAAAGATTTCGGTGTTCTTGTAGATTGACCACCTTTTTTTCTTGAGAAAATCCCACTAAGTGAAGGAATTAAGGTTTTCTTTTGGGCTTTCTTCTTGAGAGAAGAAGGGCTTGTTTCCTGCTGTTTGGATGCTTCAATCATCACTTTGGTTAAAGAAGGGGGACTAGCAAACTTCACTGACCTGTTATTTTCAAACCCCAAGTAATCATCTTCATCACTACTTCCTTCAATCTCCGGATGATTTACTTCCGCTCTTTGAATGAATTTGATCTCTTCTATCTCCTTATCAACAGGCGAAAGCTGTTTTGGATGAAATGTTTCTTTTCTCGACTTCAATTGTTTGAGTTCAGACTTGGTCTCTTCTAGCTCTTGTTTGAGCGATGCGAGGTAGTAAGCCATGCATGTGTCCTCCTCTTTTGCTTTTTCTAGGGTTTGTTTCGTCTCTTCAAGCTCTGCTGCTATGGCTCCAACTTTTGTTCGGTACTGGTTGACATTGCTTTGATCAACAATGCTCTCAGCCTGCGAAGGTCACTCGTACAAATGACCAATTGACCATAAACACATATGAACATATTCGTCCTTCGAATTTGAATAACTTTAGCATCAAAATCCATCGGTTAATTTAATTACAAGTAAATAACGAAGTTGTGGACATACATGCATAGGCACGCAAGATACATATGCATGTGAAAAGTTGATAGGTTTATTTAGCTAGGTTATAGCCATGCAAATGTACATGGCATGTAATGCATAATAATGTACTATCAACTATAGCAAAGTATGAAGCACGAAAAAAGAGATATAAATTAAAGAAGTAAACCTGTTTGATCTGCTGGCCGGCATAGACCTCTCCGGCCAAAACTTTTTCTCCGAACAACATGACAGCCTCTTTAACGGACTTGAATGGTCTCCGCATATCAATCTCAATATTCCCTCTCACTACCAAACCTTCCTCCATCTCCATCGATCTTTTTCAGAACCCTAATTTTCAAACCACATGTACATGCATGCACAAACAAGCACACATTGAATTTAAGGTGTAATGAAGATTGTAATGATATAATAGAGTGTGAGAGAGAGTTGAATAAAAAGAGGGTACGTATCTTTGCGTTCACTTCACTATATAAAATTCTGTTAATGGAGGGTGATGTTTTTAGTTTGGTGGTTGTACCGTCTTTATCTTTTCTTAATCCTTTAATTTCTACCATATATTCCGGTTTTTAATCTATTATAAACAAATCATATTATATTTTAACAAATTTCATGTACTTTTTATGTTCTCGTACGTTAATGGATATTTAACTTAATCTTCTTTAATCAATTAAGAAGCAAATGAGCAATCTTGCACACCAAGATAATTTTATATGCAGTTCTATGGTATTTTTTATGATAACGTAGGTGTGAATAAATAATCGAAAATAATTCTGAATGGGAAATAACTGAATTGAAAGAGAGATCAAATGTGGCTGAGTTTGGATGTATACCCCACTCGACACTCGGTATTTATTATTGTCTATTCTTGTGATTTTGACCCTCCTCCTGTCACCACTTGACTTTTCTCCCATAAACTATTAGTGTTTTTGTCTAGATTTAGGTGAATTTTGTCTTTTGAGCCAACTGCTTTAAATGATGATTATATTATAGGGAAATGAAATAAATGTTATAATATTTTTAGACTCAGTCGATTCGGTCCTTAAATTTATTTCGTTGTTTTATAAGGACATAAAGTCGAAAACAACCTATCTTTTTAGTCATTATGATCTGTTTTAGCACGTTTCAGTACCACATCTCAAGATTTGCCCCATCAACCACAAAATGTGGGTTCTCTGGGTAGCATCAATTCCAATGTATTCGTTTATTCAATGTTCAAAAATGAAAAGCACAAGTGGACTCCGATAATCCCTTCCGATCACGAACCAAATTTTCCACACAAAATCAAACCAAATTTTAACTTGAAAGCTTTCATTTACAATCTACTCATTTCTCCTTCAACTAATCAATATATATATATATATATATATATATATATATATATATATATATATATATATATATATATATATATATAGGAGTAGGATCAAATGAGAACACCTAAAAGGTTGAGAACGCGAGAACAGATCACAACCTTGTAAATAATTAGATCTAACTAGACCATTTATGAATATTTATAAAAATGATGTGCTAAATATGTAACTTTGAAATTGTAAGAAGGATACGATAGGAAATCCATATAATTTAATTAAATAGAAATTCCTATAATTTCTCTCTCTCTCTCTCTCTATACTTAACTAGAAAACCCTAATCTAATTATTTTGAAAAAACCGGCGCACACCCCCACCTTCTTCACCACTGTTTTCGTTAATCGTCTTCTGCCATCCTCCATCGTCGACCATCACACATCCACCATCGAGCCTCCTCCTTAGTCTAAACGTGGTCATTCACACGATTGCTTCCCTCTTTGGATCTTCACGATTTCAACAACAGTAGAGTTCGTTTTCTCTTAAATGGGCAAACATAAGGGAGAACCAAAAAAACAGAGAATCATTCAATCTAGGGAGAGCTTTCTGGGGCGTGTAAATGGAGATGAATTAGAACCAAGAAATCATTCATCTTCATCACGCATTTACTTTCATCTTCTTAACTACACTCCATCGCGTCATCACTACCCATCTACACAACCTACGCCACATCGACTTCAGACCACAATCTTCATATATACAACACACAACCTGTAACAAATCGGTTGCTCCAGGAGGATATCATCAACGTCACTCCATCTTTGTTGATTCACTGATTTCTTGTGATAAACATCATAACTACACATGTAAGTCGATTTATTAAGAGCATCATTACACACGCCCCAGAAAGCTCTCCCCGTTTTGCCACTTTCATTTTAACTTTCCTTGTTCTTCATTTTTCTAGGTGAATTGTAGACCACTTTTCTTCATTTACACACCAATCCTATATTTCTTGGTTCTAATTCATCTCATACCAGCCCTTTATTGATGGAAGAGATAGCCATACAAAGTTGTAATGAGATTCAAGGTAAAAGGTTGTGCACATAAGCTGTTTGATGAAATGCGTGAGAGAGGTATTCATTTGTGAATACCAGGGTATTCATTTGTTAATAACAATGTATTCATTTGTAAATAGCAGTGTAATCATGTGTGAATGAGTGTATTTATTTATGATTAGAGGTATTCTTTTATTCATTTGTGAATACCAGTGTATTCATTTGTTAATAACAATGTATTCATTTGTAAATAACAGTGTAATCATGTGTGAATAAATGTAATTATTTATGATTAAATGTATTCTTTTATGAAGAAATGATAATTTTTACACCCCTTTTATTTTCGGTTGATTAAAAGAAAGGAATTGGATTACTTGTAAATTGATATGTATTCATTTGTAATTGTAGTAGTATTAGTTTTTTTGGAAAAAAAATCGTTTATGAATACAAATGTATTGATTTGGGGTTGGATTTCTATTAATTTTTTTGAAAAAAAAGACGTGAAATTGGAGAAAAAAATATTTTTTAAGAAAAAAAAAATTAAATTTTTTAGTTTTAATTTTTTTTTTGATAAAAATGTTTTTTATATTACATTAATAAGAAAAATAAAAAATCAAATATTTCCTTCTATTTTGGTAACTGATCCTAAATTTAAGGGAATTTGATTGATTTTATTTTATTTTAATTTAATTTAAATATACAATTACTAATATGCCCTTATATATTGAGTGGTCTAGAACTAGTCTCGCGTTCTCAACCTTTTAGGTGTTCTCATTTCATCATTTCCCTATATATATATATATATATATATATATATATATATATATATATATATATATATATATACACACACACATGTTTGTGTGTATATCTCTATCCATGTAACATCCCAATATCAGGTATGATTATTATTGCTCTTAATTTGATCAAAAGTTGCACAACTGGTCCCTTGAGGAAAAAGGTTTGCATTTTGATCGTACGTTGGGCGTACTTGAGGGTACGCGCAACGTACTCATGCATTATGGAACACGGATGATCCGCTAGTATGTTGGGTGTACACAAAGTTGGCTATCTCGTCTTCGATTTTGCTTTCTTGTTCACTTTCCTCTTCTGATTCTGTTTCGGGCTCGTATCCGCTCTCATTCTTGTCCAATTTCCTTTTGAAAGGAGAAATCACCACTTTCTTTGACTCGCCTTTTTCTTCCTTATTTTCTTTGTTGCTTTCGCGGAAAATAGAATCGGGATCCATCAAGCTAGGTATTGTACTAGATAAAGATGATCGGGTCATATACTAACTACAACAAAACATAAAACAAACGCGTAAAACGAATAAAAACAAATAAACTAAAAACTGACAGAACAATGCCCGCGACATGGACATACGAGTCCATGACGTGGCTGCTCTAGAAATAGAAAAATAATTAAAATAAAAATAGAAACAGGAAAATATAACTTTGTATGAAATAAATTCCACGCAAACTATTGATAAAAAATAGCACATAAAATTAACTATAATAAAGTCCTTCCCCGGCAACGGCGCCAAAAACTTGATACATAATTTATATACTAGTTCTTTATTTATAGACCAAACAAATCTAGACTAGCTAATATGCAATCGATAGTGTACCAAATCGAATAATATAATATTTTAGGTAAGTCGAGTATCGAACATAGGAAAATGAATGATTAAATGCTAAAATATCTACTAATGTTAACTAATTAAATTAAGCAAATAAAAGGGGGTGTTTCTCTGGTTTTTCAAGTCCAACTTACTTAATAGGAATTACCAAACAAACAAACGAATTAAAGACAATTAAATTTTGAATTTAAGACAAGATTTTGAGACACATCCATTTAGATATGATTCACTTACTTTTATGGTTGATTTCATGGATAGTGCAAAGGATTAAAGTGTTGTTGCTTACCGATTCCTCAATTGATTCGAATTATGATCAAAAGACTAATCCTTTAGTGTAGCAAGTTTATTTATTCAGGGATCCATTGGACAAACAAACAAGTAAACTAGTATTAATTTCGAATGATGCAAGGCTTGAAATTGTGATTGATATAAATGATAATAAACATCAATTCAATACATGACTAATCATATATTAGCTTTCAGATTCATCTACCAAATTCTCTATTTAACCATAGGTTTTTGGTCCAACACTAGTGTTATGACTTTATTATTCACAAACTCATAAGATACAAGTACACTAAGATTGATAGATCATCTAATCTTAATAAGACTCAACAATAAACAAAAAAGCAGATATCATTAACACAAAAGGTTCTTTATCAAGCTAACATATAGAATAAGAAAATAAACAGTAATCCAAATCCAATTAATCAACACATAGCAAGTAAGATCCTATACTCTAAACGAAAATTAGGGTGTTTAGCACATAAAAACACAAGTAAAACTGAACAACACCTTGCAAGTCATCAAGAAAAACAAAGTAAACTAAGAGTTTAAAGTAATTATGCCTTACATCTCTTTAAAATCACGCTATAAACAAATTTTGATCTCCAAAGCCTCTTAGGAACATCTTTGGTCTTCAAAATTCGTAAGTTACTTGCAACATAAGGTAGGGTTGAGAGAAAATGCGTTATATTTATAGATTCCAAAAATCGTCTCCCACGCCGTGGAAAATAGGCTCCACGTTGTGGCAGTCACTCAAAATGTACATTCTCCAAGTTAGCCTCTTGATTGTGTAAAAACCCTTTTCCAAGGTGTGCCAGGTAATTTCTACGCTGTGGGAACTTCAGATTCCACAGATTTTGACTTCGGTTGACTCGGTCCAATTTTTCTTGCTTCCACCTCCGCATTTTGCTTCATTTTAATCATGGGCATGTCTATGCCGCTCCAAAATAGGATTTAAACATATTAAGCACCTTTTGTCCTAAATGAAGCATAATTGTAGCTAAAAATACTAAGATAATGCACAAAATATGTGAATAAATATGCTAATATAAAACATAAAGTAATTAAACATATAATGTGACGTACCAAAACTAAGACTAAAATTTTCGATTTTT